TGGTTACAATTAGAAATCTGCAGTCCTGTAATAAATAATAATTAAAAAAAGCTATCTTACTTTTAACGAACATTACTAATATTAATCATTATCAATATTTTGAGACTAGGGAAAAGCAATTCCGCATCGCGTACCATGCACTTTCCACTCATTTTTTTTTTCATTAGAAAACACTTTTCTGCTTTAAATCGATAGTCGCGGGATTTCCTTTTGCCTGCCTCGTATAAGGCAACGTAATGAATGAGATGCGTAGTCTTAAAAGTAGGCGTTCTAATTAACCCGTTTGAAACGTCATTGCACCACGAGAAAAAACATTCAGCAGAAATAGCAATCGCAAAATCCAAACCCGTTTCTCAATCCCGTGTTACATATCTATATTTATACACATATCTACATTCTACAGGAATATAATTTCACTATTCGTCCTAAGGTAATTCCGGGAGCGATAAATTATGTTTTTAAAGACGCCTCAAAGTCAAATGTTTCAGAACTATTAAATACTATCAATTTCTATAATAAATGATCTTTTCTGTAATGTATAGTTATTATAACACAATATTACGAATAGCTGCAGAAAAAACTTTTTAGACTGAACTCCATTTTCACTACTACGTGTGAGATAGAATAATAATAATGGTTGAGATGGACCAGGCGGTCATCACTACGTGGTAGATCTATCCTCATTCGTGTGGGATAAGTGGACCACCTATGAAAACCGTTACGATTACCTAAGGCATCATAGCTCTAAATTAGCATTATAGCGAAGTGTTATTAGAGCATAGTTTTCGAGGATGGGTTAAACATCTACCCAAACATAGGAATCTTATTCCTTTGACAACGTAAGAAAACTTTTGTACAAAAATATTCGAATTTCGTAAAATTAAAATGTAACAGCCACGTTCGATCGCTTTCGATAAAATAGAATATTGGCACGTTCCACATATGTATCCTGGATAGTATTAGAAAACTTGCTTGGTCCGCCTCTCTACCAGTCCATCTCTCACGGAACTGCCCTACGTGTTCACATAAATATTCGAATCTCCTATAAATGCAAAATCTGCATCTGATTTTTGCATTATCATCTTTATTATCCTCGCCTTTCCTACTAACTAAGAATCTATCATCTGCATTATCATTCTTTTCTACTAACTAAGAAGAAAACTAGTTCACTTGTCATCTACTCAACCATTACTAATCGATTTTTTCAACGAGCGCCGGCACGCGTTTTTTAATGCAAAGTTCTGTCTTTTGTTCGGTGTTCCAGTGCAAATTATACCCGCACCGATAGTCGACTCCTCAGCATCAAACGTCGCGCAAGAATGGCTACCATTAGCCACGTTACTATGCATACTCTGCGCGATGCATAAGATCATTCCTTAATAAAAGTCAATTGCTTTAGGATAATTAAAACGAAACAAACTAAGCAGAACGAAGAGAAGAGAAAACAAGAAAAAATAACTAAAAAAAAAAAAAAAGATGTGTAATATACGTAAACGCGAAGACTAGACGTGAGCGCAGGATAAAAAAAGAGTCAACACGAGGGAAGGGGCAATATACATTATATATAGGTATATATGAATATTATATACATATATATATATTATTAAAGAACGAACAATCACAATGTCTTCCTTGATTATACCGAAATACACGGGGGCAGCGGTTTTATTGTCTTGCAGAAATTTTATAACTCAAATAGACGCGGCTTCTTCGTGCATCTATTTTCGATTGTCGCTTGTACCGATCGTTATCTAAATATTTCGCGGAGGACAAATTCCGTTCGTTTTCCTGGTCGCGTCTATTCCCAATAGTCCGTACCATGGAAACGGCGACAGTGAACAAAATGATGAAAACGAGAAGGGAAAGAACAAACTAACGTAGCGAATATAGAGAATACCGCCGGTTAGTAGTGATTTTTTCTAAAATTAAAAAAAAATATATGAAAAAAGAATGAGACACATACACGGGCGCATTCATCTCCTCTTAACGTCTATTGCTGAAGATTAACTCGTTTACGATCATTCAAATGTCTGTCTATACGTTCATTGTGCACATCTACGTTCAGATCCTTTAACGACGTTAACTCTGTGTACGATATAATTTATTCGTTTTTACTCGAGAAGAGATTTATTGTATTCGCGGGAATATTATACGTATACATATATAAACTACTATTTTATGTATGTATAGTTTAGAGAAATATCGCGCTATACATATTATACGGTGATTGTTGTGATCTTGACGAACTGATCTGTTCGTCCAATCAATGTAACATAATTATCGGAGACGGTGCAATGAATGTCAATTCGTATTTCGAATTTCTTGTTCGAAATTAACAGGTATAATCGTATAGGAAATCATTGTTTCAGAGACAATTGTGACCGTTCAGGGGTACTTAATTATTTATAGATTTCGGCACATTTCCTGAAACATTTATAATTTTAATCTCTATTCCGTGGCACATATGAGTACCTTCTTCAAGTTGATATTTCCGTTTTAACGTGATAGCTATTGACGAATAATGTATACGGTACATATGTACGTATTATATAATTATCCTAATAGTTCTTTTCGTATCGACGCGCATAAACAAGATGAATATTGTGATCGGTTGCTTAACGTTTTTACATTCCTACTTGTAATACACGCAGTCTAAGTATTGATTGTAAAGCTAATTTAAGTGAGAACGAAGAAATTATCTATATATTTCATATACATACATATCGCCATATAGAGAAATATTATAATTAATTATACATGTATGACATACATATACGAGCTTCGTACACGTGTGCATGTGAATATTTCGTTTGCAAGTATCTCAGATGTTTATATATATTATATATATGTATAAAGAAAAGTTATAGATAGTTATATATGTGTGTATGTCTGCTGGCAAACGCGACGTGTAATCCAAAGCTGGCATCCTATTGACAAATCAGAAGTTAAGACTGTTGTACCTTGTTGTATCGTGAACCTCTACTACATATACCATTTATTTTCCTCGGATTTTGTCACTTGTTCCTCGTGTTTCGCACAAATCAAAGGAATTTCAGATATTTAAACGCATAAGAACGACAATGATTACTTAGACTTACAATTAGACGATTCAACGCAGAAGGAATGTAACATTGTTATATAAGAAAAGTTTCGAATTTTATTATCAAACATGCTTCTTTAACTCGTTACAATAATTTATTCCATTGCGTCTACATTATTCAGCAAAACGTGTTAACAATCTCCACTTAAAGTAACTGCCACTCTTTTATTAGCATTAGAGCTCGAAATTATACATATTTTATGTCCAATTTCATTTATTAATTTATTTCATTTATTAGAAGTCGGAATGTATGACTCGTGCAAAGTTTAATATTTGCATCACCTCGATATCTATTAGGAAGCTATATTTTCGAGTTGACAATTATAGCAGTAGCCAGAATTTTCGCTTACTCCTATTTCATCTCTCGAATGAAATTAGACGAGCAGCTACTGCAAGAATTACGTCCTGAACTGAACTCCCTGACCTGAATTTATTAATAATGAGATGCAAACATGAATTTATTACAATATCATATAATCTACTATAATAAGAGGAACAATATTATATTACATTATGCAATATAACATTTTGCTCGTTGCATTTCCATCAAATCGTATAACTTAGCCATATAACATGTTTTGTTATGCATAATGTAGACGCAGCTTTAAGCGATGCATTTCATTGTTCGTACAGCAAGACAGGACCCTACGGCTGACTTGAATAACATGTAGCATAGCATGGAGGTATGTCCCCTTATGAAAATACGATAACTCCTTCGTATATTATGTGCCCATGTCCTATTTTTAACGAAAGAGTAAAATGAGTGAAATAAAAAAAGAAAAAGTTTGTACGCGCATACCTCATCAAAGGGAAATACCAAACAACTTTGTCTTCGTAAATGCTCGGCTTCTGTGCACGCTTATAATCGTTTATCATGAGCAGAAAAACAACGTCGTATAATTATAGAATTTCCTTGCCTACGCACCGGAGCTTTGCTATGTACATACGTCGATCAATAAAAGTGTGTATCCGACGGCTTTCCGGGACATCCCACGTGTGCACGATTCTAAAACGCTTCCGTTCCCTTTTTATCTTCTCTTAATTTAACATATTCTGTACAAAAGTGGAACCAGAGGAAAAAGCGTAAGAGCGAGGGCGAAATAAAACGGAAAAGTGTGCGTGGGCGAGAGAGAGAAAGAGAAAGAGAAAGAGAGAGAGAGAGAGAAAGAGTGATGTATCTATTAAAGTGGTAAGAGTTTTTTAGCCGGTGATACTTTCGACGTGCATATCGTGTAACATATTGTAGCGTTATAATTACACGTAAAGAGTTAATCTTTTCGAGCCTCACGGCTACTCGATTGTCCCTGTTCTCGAGAGGCGCGCGATAATAGCCACGACACAATGCCGATACAATGGAGACGCTGACAAACGCGACCCAGCTCACCCACTATACACCGTGAGTTGGCACAAACTTGAGTTTTCAATAAAACTTCCGGAATCCGGTGAACAACGCGTCATAAGATGATTCAAATGGTTTCGAAGTGTAATCATGTCTTCACTTATTTTCTTCAAATATAAAACCTTCAGTGGGTCATATCTGACGTCAATGAAACTTTAAGCTCGTGTGGTATGATGAGTAATTTACGAATTAAGAATTGATGATTTTTATGATAATGCAACCCTTTCAATTTCAACTGGAAATAATTTACGTGTATTACATACATATATAGTGGGAAAAAATATAAAAATAGTGATTTCAATCTGGACGATCAACCTCGATCTGACCAGTTTCTACGAAACAGGTCAGGAATACACCTGTTTATAAAAAGAAATGATAGAAAACAGGGAAATGAAGAACATGAAATATAAACGCTTGTATTATAATGTCAGTTTAATATCATTCAAAATCAACCAAAAATACTTCTGCACTGGACCAAAAACAGAACGCTCGAAATCATTCGAATGGAAACACCCTATAGAATCCGTTCCGTTTACCGCAGAATGAAAAACAAAAGGTGGCTGTGTCGCGGGAAAGGCCGTATATTCACACCAGTGGACGGACAAATGATCAAAATGTTGTTCTTGTTCGCGCTGATGTGCTACTTTCAAGCACTCGTCATAGCTACGGACGATATTCCATCGAGCGAGGATGAAACAGCTGTGGACCATCCGACGAAGAAAGTAGCCGTGAGGGTAGTCGGCGGGAAAATCACTGACATAAGAAACTACCCGTTCGTCGTAGGTGAAATGCGCCCGTGACGTTTCCTAAATATTATCTTTAAAAACTATCACGGATACGCGAGTCACTCTAATCGTCTTCGAGAGAGGGAAGAAAGAAATACTATAGCAGTACGTAGAAGTGGCGACGCGACAATGTCAATTTAACTGTATCATTCCTAAGATGTCTCAGTAATTATAGGGAACGAAGACAATTCCTCACGAATTATTTTACTAGAATTAGAGGGAGTAATAGAGAACAGTGTCCTACTAATGGAATTGATTGAATCAATAAATGACAGAGGCGAGGAGGGATCATTTTATAAAGATAATAAGCAGCAGAATAATTTAATAAAGAGGATGTTGACATAGATTAAAACAAGTGTTAAAATCCAATATTGTTCTAATTTTATCCTGAATGATGTCAAATTTGCAACAGAGTAAAAAGTTGATACTTAATGTTTTTATGACAAACCACAAGTGACTTGAGATAACCGTTAATTTTTCAATCTATTTTCTTCGAGATTAATATTTATATAAATGATAATAGAACATTTCATTATTCAGTTTTTGTATTATCTCTGTAAATGTTCGTTCCTCTTTTCGAATTATCCTGTAGAAAGATTCTTTAAACTGATTCCAGAAATATTATATATTCGTATAAGTTAGAATAGCAAGATTCTAGGAAGGCGTGATTAGAGTGATCCTCGCGAGTATCCTAGTCGTATCGGTAAGATATAGAGGTTCGCTGATGACGAAACCGAATTTTCAATGTCAATTTCTCGTAGGTCTCGGTCCAACGCCGACACTTTAGTCATATCTGCGGAGGTACTTACATAGCGCCGAGATTCGTTTTATCAGCCGCTCACTGCATGGTCAGGTGCGTTCTAAGATTGCGATACTTACAATAGTCTGTCGCTCTTTACCCTAAAATGGTAGCAAAATATTGATGAAAAAAAATGTAAGATTAATGT